GTGTGTGTGTGTGTATGTGTGTGTGTGTATGTGTGTGTTTGTATGTGTATTAGATGTATTCTATTACAACAGCAAATATCCGATCCTTTGCTTTACACGATGGAAGCCGTTATTCTAACACCTCCCGTTTTATCATTATCCTGAAAAACTTTTATTATTCTCTGATCGTTTTTCAGCGATCTTTACATTAAGCTTTTTCTTCTCTCTCTTGAAAAGAGACAATTCTACACTAATCGTCTTAGATGCTGTCCATCTTTCAATCATTATCTTTATTTTTAAAGCGCATCTGTCCACTTTCACAAATTCTTGGTAAGTAACGCATGCTTGCGCAACTTTTACCGTTTAATATATCAACTCCTCCTTCGACCAAAATCAACTAAGAGGTTAGTTTTGTATTATTTTGCTGTTAGTATATAAATGCCTTTTTTTCAAGTTATTTTCTGTTTGAAATAAAAACAAGCGATGCCATTAGAGCTATAACTCTCAGCTGCCGTAAATTTCCGGCATGCTACCCGTCGGTTTCAATCAGATAGCAAATTTCATTATAACACTTTTTCTTTGGCGAAGCCAAATAGAATGGAATGTGATAACAACGAAAACTTATTACTTTAAGATCCTTACCAGTTTTTAAATTTTTCAAAGAACGAGACTTCTTATGTTTAAATCATTTGCTTTGATGCTTAATTTTTGGTACTTATAAAATTTTGATGTGTCCTAATTATGATATCTTCACTTTACATAATTTTTCCCATAGATATTTTGAGGAAATTTATTTCTTATATACAATAATTATGAATTAAATTTTTCTTTCACAAAATCCGACCAAACAATCTCATTAGTGTGAGAGTGACAAATGTTCTTATTGCCTGGAAAAGGTGGTACCAGATCACACATGACGACAATCAAGGAATTATAGCTAGATTAGATCAATGTACTGTTGGTAGAACCATTTCAACTATGCCTGCAAAGATTATTATCTTCTATTCTCCACCACTACATTCGTTAATTAAGGCAACGGTTTTGAAATCACTATTGCAATTTACCATTGCATCAACAATAAATTAAGTAATTACTGAGGAATATTTTTGCTATTTATCAAAAATAATGAATTTAATTTATTTATCTAGAAAACTGACGTCTGTATATATGCAAATTAAGGCTGATTAACTTCAGGCAAAATGGATAGCGGTACTATACACGACGACATACCAAATTTGGTAGAAAACACACAGTCGGATGAGGTAACTCTTTCTTTTGCCTTTCATATGGAAGCCGGATGAATTCTTTTTTTATCTGTTCATGTCCCCTTTCTATAACTGTAAAATACTCATTTTATATTTTTTGACTTGTGATAAAGATTTTCAGAAAATCATGTGCCCCATAATGTTTTTGGTCTAATGACCTTATTTTCCAATTCTAATATACCTGTTGTTAATTGAACAAACTCACTGTGAAATATTCATATTGCATAAATTACATCACTAAAATTGTTTAGGAAAATGTGGAAGCAGGGAGTTTAAAACGTTCAACAGCTGAGAACTATCCAACTGTAAAATCATCTAAATACGATTTTGCTACCAAAAACCTGCTTCATTTCGAACCAACTTCGGCAAGTATAAGCCCTACTTCCGCCAGGTTTGATGCTTATGTATTTTTAAACTTGAAATTTTGTTACATTATGATAATTGCTGGCAAGAAATATCTTTATTCACCGAAAGCAACTTATAGATTTCTGCGCCACTGATATCGTCTAGTGCCTTAAGATTGTGCACATTAAGAATGACAGAAGAGGGTGATGTAATTGATGAAGTACGGGGACGTCTAATTACATCGCTAGCGTTTAGCATAATTTGGTGTACTTCATCAATTTTTCCCTAGATTGAATGTTTTATGGAAAGGATAATATATCACCAATCCAGAACTTTAAAAAAAAGTTCACATTGTTCAGTGATAAAAGTTAAAATTTGTTAAACAGTGAGCATTTTGCAAAAAACAAAATGGTTAATATGGATGGATGACTAAGCATAACTGTGTCTTTTATCTGTCCCACATTCACCTTGAAAACATGCGAACAGCAGGAAACAAGCTGTCTTGAAGTATGCAGAACTCCACAGTGACGTATAACTGAGAGACAATTTCACATATGCAAAGAGGTCAAAGTATCCATGGCAAATCATTCTGTAAATATGAAGGGACTATTGCAAATGATAATCTGCTATCTCTTACAGTACTCGATATCCAATGCATATGCCATCGTTCAAGCGAATAGATTTTAGTGATTTAAGTGATGCATTGGTTGAAGAAAGAAAGCCTGCTTGGAAATTGTGGCAGGATTCAATTAAAGATTCTTATTATACGGCAAGTTGTCAATTCCCGTAACATTTCATTTGAAATTCGTTCTGGTGCATGTTAATTTCTTATTATTTTTTAATATCATTACGCTGTTATTTTCTATGATTTATTACATTATGAATGGTAATTTTATACTTCATTTTCAAAAGCATTAAACTAGAAAAATCAAAATAAATTATTCAGGTTCGTAGAAATGCAGAAAAAACCGTTGAAGAAACAGCATTTAACGATTCCCAATTGGTACGACGCCACGAAAAGCGATCTGATAGTCCATTCGAAGAATTATCAATTCGTAGTCCATCGATTCAAAGGCCAAGTCATCATGCGTTATATCCGCGAACTAGAGGAATTTACCATGAAACAGGTTAGCACTTTTTTTAGCGAAACTTTGCAGTTATTTCAATTGGTCAAAACTCAATTTCGATCGTGGTTTAAAATTTACAGTACGGCCATTCAACGTTGATTTAAGCCAGGATGGAATAAATCTAAAAATAATGCAGTATAAAAATTCGTTTTTCAGCTATTGTATTCGAGCAACGTTTCTGTTCACTTACTGCTTTCATATACATTTTCTTTTCTTGGTCCTTATTTTGAGTTCATGGCAGCTTCGTTTATCAACTGAGTTGTGAAAATGGGGAGTGGAAGATGGGAATATCGCAAATCACAGCGGTTTCATCTGAATTACAGTAATATGATAGATATACTACAGAAACGGGTCTGAGTGGAAGACAATGTTAAATTGTGACATTGATTGATATTTCAGGTCCATATGCAGCACCAGCTGTATCTTCTTCCAAAGGAATTGAAGCACGTTACAGCAAAAAAGTAAGCGACATTGAAGCACATCTACTGAAAACATCAGTTTTACCAAATTCGATGAAAATCATTACTACGCACGATTTTCGGAATGGGCCAGCTCCAGCATCTGGTAGTGCCTCAGAGGCATTCGCTGACGAAACAGATTTTCAAGTAGGTTTGTCAGTTCCTGTTAGCAGCATATTAAGCAGATGCTTGATAATTGAGATATCTTTCACCTTTCCATTCATAAATACTATTAAATCAATTTGATAATGGTGGTATTTGTGCTATTCAAAAAAAATTACACTTCCACTTCCTCTCATATCTCTATGGTACTCAGTCCTAGTAACTTTTATTATTTCTTGCTCAAATAGAGTAGGCAATAACAGAAGGTATATTATCAATTTAAGTTATAAGTTATGCTTTAACTTTTTGACAAAGATTGTATTCTGGTTTGATTATTGTTTCGAAATCCGTGATTCTTTCATTCCAGACTTGGTTCAAAAAATGTAAGGTCAAAATACAATTTATAAGAAGTAACAGTAGATATCATAGAATGGATTATTCGTGGTTTGTTGATATATCGTTTAAATTTTATATATGGACAAATTACGCTTACATCCCATAGGGGAATGAATTATGAAATGTAAGCAGAGAAATAGAGGCAGTTCAATTATATAATGTTGGTTGCATTATAATATATGAAAGGTGTGGAAGTTGTGTAGATTATTTATTATTGCATACGTCAGTGAATGGCTTTAATTTCCAACAGATTTTGTTTACCATTTCTGTGCTCCAAATGCTCAACAAAAGTTTTGAAAACTCTGTTTCAAAATGTCCAGTGCTTAAAATTGTTGGACAGAAAAAAAATAATGGACGTGAGGAAGATAATATATCACCAAAAGCATATCTAATATTTTATTGAGCAAATCTTGCAATAACGAAATAGGAACACTTAATCAATCCGAAAATTTATCGTCACTCAGGCTTCCTTCTATTAAAATACTATTGTTTCTGTGCATAAAGCTCTTAATATTTTTAGAAAATCACTTTTAATTTTGCTGAACTTTCAGACGTTTATGCCACGTCCGTATTATAGTCGCCCAAATCGCGATGATCCGGATTATTTTGATTTTGATTTGCAATATTCTGTTGATCTGTACAAACGTCCAGAAGGAAAATATGTTCCACGAGGGTAATTTCTTTTTTTATTTCTTATTCAACAGTATATTACTGTGATACAAAGTGGCCGAAACCTCAAACACGTGTGCTTACTGTATAACGTACAGAACGTTAAGCGACATCATTTGTCGTTGTTTCATTTTTATTTCTGATTCTTAGGCCACAAACATGGGAGGAAAAATTGTTACGAGAATCGAGTTCTAAAGGTGATGCGCCGCTATCAACTTATATGTTTACCAAGGTACTTTGCCTCTTTTTGTTTTCTCAAAATTCTTAATTTCTCGTCGATGTTTCTAAAAAAATAAATTTTGATAATAAGGATTTGTTTGAAAAACGATTTCAAGTCTGACCCGTACTCTATCAGTTTTTTAAAAATTTCATGTGAAATTATTGAGTTTGATGATCTTTTCCAAATAGAATCAGAATTTTGATGAATAAGCGTTTCCAGACCAAAGTAACAAAAAGAGAGGCAATAGACTCAGTGAAGTACATGCAAATGTTGCTTAAGGGTGATACGGATTGGCGTACTGCTGGTACATCCTATCTAAGCGCCGCACTACGAACTCCATCGTTTTGGGAACACCGGTTCCAATCAATTGGTCGAGAAGTTCGTGAAAGCAATCCGATTTCATTTGACAGTCTTGCAAGGTTAACTTTAATCAATTATATTTTGTCAAAATTAATCGCGTAGGAAAAAAATCTTTTGTAATCTGTTAATTATAACATCTAAATAATTGAGATTCAATCAACAATTCATACTCAAGCCTTTTGTTTCCATAAATCTCTCTAGAAATTTTTGCATATCTTTTATGATATTACCTGTTCAACTTTCCACAGTGTATCGTGCTGTAACTTTGGAGCAATGATCATTGAAGTGATGTTTGTTGTGAAAGTTGGTTTGTTTTGAGGAGGATTATAGGATTGCATTTCCTTGAGGTGAGAGTTGATCGTTTTATTATATTACGATCTGATGGATTAGGCTTGAATTCCTGATTCTGATCTTGGCCTAGAATATTTGTTCCAGACACTATTGAATTTGATGTGATGACTACGCCAACAGATGTAGTTTATTGGATAGCATGAATATGTTGACGACAATAACTGAAGTTGACTGTGT